GTCTAAAACTCATTTTACTCGCAGTGTGCAAATACAAAGTGGCAAGATAGCAAATGGCAGATAATTATTAGGATTATTCATGACTGTAGCTTCATTATTATGTGGAACAATACTGCTCTAATTATTCTCAGTCTTATACTGCTCTAATTATTCTCAGTCTTAAGCCGGATGTGTTTAAAACCTGTTTTCAAATTTTTAAAGTCTGTTACTGGAGTTGTAGCTATCTCACTATGATTGGGTTTTATGCTGCTGCCTTTCACAATATCATCTGAGTGTTTCGCATGTAAAACCAACTGTATAAGTAAGTCCCTGGTGGGCTTGATGGAGTTTTCATCTAATCTGCAAGGCAGGAAACATCAGATAGGATCAGTACTTGGTGACCCACTGAAAAATGCCATGATGGTAGAGGAATTGCTAGTGGGTATGTATACATAACTATGTATGCATACATACGTAGCTATGTACATATAACCTATGTATAGTGCTAGGGAGCACTGGCATACCGGAAGTGAGATACTGGAAGTGATGCTTTTCTGAAGTGATGCTTTTCTAAAGTGATATAACATTGAAATCCTGCTTGGGACTGGATGGCTCTTGTTACCAAAGCAGACAGTAAGTCCTAGGGACCTGGTCAGCAACTATTCTGTATCATTAGATTTTTTGCAACCCTAAATTACCCCAGTAGCGACCAGTTATTAGAAGGTACCATAAGTCAGGGGTGGCCAACCTGTGGCATATATGCCAGAAGTAACATGGGCAGCCACTGTATATGGCATACAACACTGAGGAAGATCAGGAAACGCAGTGGCAGATAGGGCATGGGGCAGAAAAAAAAGCAACAGTTTGGTATGGGGAAGGGAAGCAGTGTCATGCCTGCCAAAAAGGCTTGCCCACATTGCCACAAGTCCCATTGATATCAGTTAAAGTCAGTCACCTAGGGTGATTACAAAAGTGACATTTTTGGTGTGATTGGGTCCCTGAAAGCACTCTACAGCCATGACATAGCACACATGCACGGTTGCAAAACGCTTTTAAAATGGCCGATCACATGAAAAATTAATCCTGGTCAAATAAGGTATTAGATTATGGTGCTATAAAGCAGAGCATCTTAGGGAACTTAGAGTTCAGAGGAGGGCCACGTGCATAATTAGAGGTCAAGAAAACGGGCCATATGAGGAGAGGCTGAGATGCATAAGACTCTTCAGCCCAGAGAAGCAAAGGCTCAGGGGTGACTTGGTGCCAGCCTATAAGTATATAAGGGGTGTGCATCAGAACTTGGGAGAACATCTGTTCACCAGGGCACCCCAAGGGAAGACAAGGTCTAACAGTCACAAACTGCTGGAAGACTGTTTTAGAGTGGGCATAAGGAAAAGCTTCTTTACTGTCCAAGTCTCCAGAGTCTGGATGAGACCCCCCAAAAGTGGTGCAAGCACCTACTCTAGATACCTTTAAGAAATGCTTGCATGCTTATCTTGCTGATGTGATCTGACCCCAGCTGACTTCCTGCCCCTTGGGCAGGGGGCTGAACCCAATGATCTGACAAGATCCGTTCCAGCCTTAATGTCTGTGAAATCTATGAAACTTGTGTTCCTTCTAGGGTTAATTTTTCACACAGGAGCGGGGCTATCAGCAGGAGAAGGAGGGGAAAGGAGAGAGCATTGCCGGCTGCTTTGAATGGCCAGAGCTAGGGGGATAGTGGGATGGAACGGAGCCCCCTTGCCTTGCGGCCCTCCCCCCCCCCACCGCCCCCCCCCCCCCGGCATTGTGGGGAGCCAGGCCTGGGGTGGGCAGGGCTGGGGAGAGGGGTGGTTTGGCAGCCTCGAAGGCTCCTGGAGCACCCCGGCTTGCCAGCCAGGGCCAATGTAGGCTGGCTCCAGCCCCTCTTCTGCCCCCCCGACCCATCAGGCAAATGTCTGTTAGGTTGCGGGGGGGGGGGGGGGGGGGGGGGCGTGGAAGAAGGTCCCCCACGCACTCGGTGAAGGGTTGTTCTTACTCATGGCACTTTATGTAAAGCACCATGAGTTAGTGGGACCCTAATGTCTTTAGGCACCCCTTAAATACCCTTATGAATCTGGTTCTAGATACTAACAAGGCCCAGAATTAGATGTGGGTCTTTCTGTGGAGTCAAATTAGACCCAAAACATGCTGAGAGGCTTGGGTTTTACATTTCACATCAATGCACTAGCATTTGCATTTTAAATCAAGGGGGAAAGTGAAAACTGGCAGATACACCAATTATTTATAAGGATAATTTACCAAAACATCATACCTATTTGAGTAAACCTTTAGAAAGAGACTTTCTTGGTTCTGCATATTTCACTTGGAACCAAAGTACTGTGATAAACTCGTGCATTTTTAAATTAATGCAAATAATAGGTAGTGTTGCAAGGCATAAACTAATCAAATATTCCACGGGTCTGTGCTTCAAGACCTCAGGACCTTGTCAAGCATTCACTTGCAACAGTTGCAGATCACTGGGATGTACTGACCTATTAAAGTTAGTATGTGTTAAGGAGATAACCCTTGACTGAAAGGGAATAACTTTGCAGTGCTAAGAGAGCACTTAAACACATGCTAAACTGCTTGAATGTGCATAGTTTTGAGTTTTAACTGTGCTTAGTAAGTGTTAATTTGAACATGTAAGGGTGAAGTCACTCGTTACATTTAGACCATACTAAGGGCATTTAAAACACTAACATCCACGTGCTAAAATTCATCAACTTATGGTAAGTGCTCTCAGAGCATCTCAGTTACACCACTTCTGGCAGGGGTTAACTGTAGGCTGTGCTACCTGACATGTTAAAGTAACTTTAGTCTGCTCCACAAAGATAAAACAAGCAATTTGCAGTTCTCCGGCATCCAGGATGCACCACTTCTAGCTCCCCGCTTCCTGTCAGCGAGCAGGGGCATGGTGAGGAGCCAGGACACCTGGCTACTATCCCTGCTGTAGTGGCAAATCAGAGTTGTACAGACAAGAAAAGGTATTGCCTCTTATCATGTGACAGCTCACAGCACATTCTAACTTTAACGCTGCTTAACATGCCATAGACTTAGTCTGGTGTAATTGTAACATGGAAGTTCACCCTAACACCATCCTCAGCCTTTGCTGTAGAAATTTGGGTGAGATTTTAGGAATTGTTCCATATTGTGCTAACTATGCTCCTGCTCAAGTCGACGTGTTAGTTTCCCCATGAATTTAAATAGGTGAGGTTTCCTGCCGCTTCACTTTGGAAAATTCTTGAGTACTGGGTCCTGCATATAACCAGGGAAGAAAGAATGAAAATGTGCCTTGCATATAACCTATGCCATGAGGTCTTCATGAAGGGGCAGAAAGAACTATCTTAAAGTGCAAAAGAAGCCATTCACCATTAGACTTTGGCTCTTTTGAGCATCACTGATGATGTGTGTACTAGGTAATAGCAACAGCTAAAGAGATGGCTAGATATCCTGTAAATGACTCCTTGAGGAAGAATTGCCAAAGCAACATAGTAAATACTCAATCCATTAAGCGTCTTGCAACAAACTATTTTCATTAAAGCGCCTGTAAAAATAGAAGCCATGTTAAGTTTGAGGTTTTGTTCCTGTCCTGTTTTTTTCCCCTAACTCACCATCATCATCATCATCATCATCATCATCAAAGCCCTTGAAAGAGAAGCATGCCTTTTCTGTCTCGTGAGAAATACTTACGAACATGATTTGGGGCCTGACCCGCCATGATTCTGCACCTCGCACAGTGATTTTGGCCAGTGCAAAATGCCTGTAGAATCAGGACAGATCAGAATGTTTACCTGAGCTACACGGAGCAGAGGAGAACTAGACCCCTGCTTTATACTAAGGAGTGCCACTGAGATTACAGTGTCTGGCTTTTGCTGCTGTGCCACTTTATTGAAGGTCAGGCAGAAAAGTGAGATAATTTTGTGGAGCCTGTAAGGTGTTTGCTCTCATTAGCAAGACATGAATGTTTTTAAAATGCCAGGGTGTTTACTGTTGTGCTAATTGGGCTGACAAGAGTTGCCAAGGAACAAATGGTCACAGAGAATGAGTGTTACCCTCTTATTTGCATGAGGTGGCCTCTTCAGATTTGGTCTGAGCTGTACTACTGAGGCATTGTGGTGAGCCTTCAACATCTTTGTCCACATAAAACTCAGACTTTGGATAAATAGAAAGTAACAATCTCTGGGGCTACCAAACTGCCAGTGTTTACCGGCAACCCATTATGAAACACTGTAATTAAACAAAAAATAAGCCAAGAATGACTTCTTACCAAGTCTACATGTTCTAAAAATTAAGGGCCAGATTCACCTTGATGAGCATCCTAGAGGTAGAGTGGTGACTGTAGCAGTATAGAGCAGTCCACTACTTTTGTTATAGTAGGGAAGGGGGTTCCAAGTAGATTTGTAAAACTTCCCTCCCACATGGCAGGTCCAAAGGAAGGAAAGCAGCAATACTCTGTGTTGCCTTAAATAAGTCTCTTTTTGGCCAGAGAGGGATTCGCTGGACTATCACCTTATATACGTTCCCTAGTGCTGCCGGAGTTCTGCAGCTGGAAGCATTTTGGCTCTCAGTTCCAGCATCCCTTGTACTTTCAAACTCCTGTGCCGGTGTGCATAGATTTTAGTTCGTTAACTACTGGAGTCTTTATTGGTGCCTGCCATCCTGCTAGTTTGCATTGATCCTCCCCGGTGGTGACACTCGTATGCCCTTTGATAAAGTAGCTGTCAAAGTAGCCATCCCTCTATGAGCCAGGCTTCAGGACCCACTCTGATCTGAGATGTTCATTAGTGTTGTTTGCCAAAAGGTTTATGTAACAGATGTTACAAAGCGGACACACACACACACACACACACACTCTCTCTCTCTCTCTTTCTCTCTCGGAAGTATGGGAAGAGCTGTCGGGGTGATGGAGGGAGGTTGCTCCGTGGGACTAGACTAGCTCAGAGACACAGCTGCATCTGCTAAACGGCAACTAATGTCTTTGTGTGACCATGCTGTATTTTCAGCTTGTCATCATGGCTGGGACTGTTCTGCTCGCCTACTACTTCGAGTGCACTGATACTTTTCAGGTGCATATCCAGGGTTTCTTCTGTCAGGACGGAGAGCTGATGAAGCCTTACCCAGGAACAGAGGAAGAGAGCTTTATTTCCCCTCTTGTGCTGTATTGTGTGCTGGCTTCAACCCCAACAGCTATTGTAAGTATAAAAGCAGACTCTAATTCTTCACTGTTGAGCCAAATAATATGCTATTTAGAAGCCCACCAATGTCTTAATATTTCTTTTCCCTCCTCTCTTTTCAGTATTAATGTATCAGTATTTGAGACTGAACAAAAACAAAGAGAGCCAAATAAAAAGAAAAATAAATGCATGAGATAGCCACAGATGTAATTATTCTAATATGATCACAAGGCAGGCTGAACATGGGTAGAGTATGTGTAGCTTGTATTATAACTAGCTCACTTAAAGGATAGTGTATGATTATGTGGGTTCCAGAGAGGCCCTACAAGTAATGGCTGTGTGTTATTTGCAATAAAATAACCCAAATAAGATTTGGATCAGATCTGAGTGGAACAGTGTAGAGCACTTAAGACTGTTTGCTGCTATTTTAAAAAGACTGTTAGAGGGCTAAAATGAGGAGTAACATAATACTTGAAAAATCACAAATGTTCTTTGCTGTGTGTGTGTGTGTGTGTGTGTTTGTGTGTGTGTGTGTGTGTGTCTGTCTGTCTCACAGGTACACATCAGTTAACTTTCTTTAGTGTATTTCTTTTACTATCCTAGAAGATAACAGCCAGCCAAAGTGCAATTATGCCCATTTTCAAGTAGCAAAATGCTGACATTCTAAGCTACTTATTGTAGCCATTTAACTTTTTACATTTTTCCACAGAAATTGCCAGTTTTGTTAAAATCTGGTTAAATTAATACAATTTGTTCAGATTTTGGCATCTTTTTTTTTCTCCTGTGTCTTTCTTCTGCAGCGTCATTAAATATTGTATGCAGATTTTTAGAAGTTGATTTATAGATTTGTATATGTTGTATTAAATTTCTCAGGGTCATTTTTCTTTTTTACTCATGACAAGTTTAGGACCGTTATGGAACTCATAGAATCAGGTAATACAAAAGGTGAGAATAAATAACAGGAAGATTTTTCAGAAGTGCCTGAGGGATTTAGGCACAAAAGCTCTGCTAAAGACCAGTGGGATTTGTGTACCTAGTTCACTTAAGTACTTATGAAGATCTTCTCCGGTAGCAGTTTTATTTTCTGCTTTGGAGCTGTGGGCTTAACTGGTAATTTGACTTGGTTGAATTCCGTTAATGCTGCAGTAGTTCAGTAATACTGCAAATAAAGAAATTGTAATTTGACCTGGGATTGCTGTCCATTCCCATGTCTGTCCTGTTCTAGCAATGCAGTTCAGAATATTTGAGGAAGTAGCTTTCACAGGGTGTGTTTATGTAGGGCGATTTTAATGCAGTGCTTACTATGGGTCTAATCCCTCACCAGTGACGTCAGGGTGAGACTTGTCTTTGTACCTCAGGAGGAACAGGGTCAGCTCTCCGGTGGGTATGTGATGGTGAAAAGGCTGTCCTTGAGGTGTTCCTTCCCTGAGGAGTCTTCAGCTGGGCAGTGCAAATTTGCTGTGATCTTTTAAATTTGGTTTTCAGCAAACAGTTTCCATCTGACCCAGTGATCGATGAAGACCTCTTCATCCTTGGGGCTACTCAGCTACCATCCCTGGGCAGAGAAGTCTGGCTGGCATGCTTTTCAGTGCTCTAGCATCAAATGCAAAGCCATTAGCCTGGCCCTTTTTAAAGCTTTATTTTTTCTTTTTTCATATACGATATTCAATCTTTTAATTCTCATTTTAGACTAAGATTTGAAATTTTAATATTAACCTCAAAACACAATGTGCCTGGGGCTGGTCTTTCATGCTTTCTTGACAGGATAATCGTTTCCTCCAAATGAGTTCAATAAGCCTTCTGACAGCCAGTCAGTTTAGGAGGCCATGGGATTTAAGCCACGATCCCAACAGTTACACCTCCTGGCATGCCACATATTCATGGCAGGACACATGACTTTGGAATCAGGGATTAGATCTCTCTCACACCTTATTTGCCAGATCATGATCCCAGGGCCCCCCTGCACCAGCAGTTTAAAACCCATTTGCCAATAATCCTCTGATTGTTAGTCATCTGGGGACCAAACTAGAATCTGAAACTGGCCCCAGCCAACAATCTGCTGATTGTCAAGACCCCAACTAGGGTTAACTCTGTCCCAGGCATGGGGACCCCAGGCTGTGGCAGCCTGATCCTGGGGTTCCTATGTACTGGGACCTTTAAAACCCCTTTGCTTCCCATCTGAGCGGCACATAGGGTTTCGACTAAGCACCAGCGCACAATACAAACAAACCACAAAATGATTATGTATTATATGTGGAATAACGTTGTGGCTCATTAACTGTATAATCATGCTTTAAATGGATTTTAACATGAAGCCATGTTACTATTTAAGGTGCAGTTAACCTGTTAATTGCATCTTAAATGTAACGGGCCTAAGTTTCTAACATACTCCCCACACATTTCTCTCTGGGTTACATTTCTCCCTCTTTCATACTCAGGCAGAAAGTTTCATTCTTACATCACTGCTTCAGTGCATCATGCTGCTAGTAGTCAATCTCCAGCCAAAGTTCCCTTACACACCAAGGATGAGAAGTATCATCTATAACCAAATCTTGGCAGTGCCTAAGAAGGCATTTCTACACTTTGTCCTGTATCCCCTAACCTACCTGACTTCAAAGTCACTGTTCCCAATCATCATGTGTATATATCCCTCCTAACACTTATAGAAACCCTGTGAGTACTGATGATTTATCATTCAAATGACTGGATTTTAGGAAGAGGTTTTAACATCAGTGGGACCCATACACGGTTTTGCCAGATGAAACTGTCCTGCCTCTTCCATTCATGCTATAGTAATCATATCCTTGTAAGAACAAGGCAAATTCAGGGTTCCTTCTTGGACTGTTTGCTGCCAATTAAGAATTCCTCTGTGGGCCTTCAAACAGGTCACATGCAAGATAAAGCTTTAGGAGTGGTTGGGATCTGTTCTTTCCTCTGTGCG